TCACGGGTCATGAAGTTTATGTATTGGATTTCACTACAAACAGCATGTAAGCACAACATTTTATGAGTCACCTGTGAAAAAATATTTTTGACATTGGCACGTCATTTTTACATGTAGTGAATGGCCACCATGACACATGAATGATTAATGTTAAACTAAAAATGACCAATTAAAACATTTTGACAGTTTCTATAATTTAAACATTAAGGTATTACTATTTATATAATATTTATGTGGCAGTTTTTTGGAGCAAATATGGTGAACTGATTGTGTTAAGAACACTGGGCAGTGTGGAGAATGAAATACAACCTCTGGTTCGTTGGCTTATATGGCTATTTTTATTAGAGAGTCCTGCAGTGAATTTAAAATGTTGTCAAATTTGGTGATCACATTATTACGTTATACAGTCATATACCACCTTTCAGGTTATAGCTTCAACTGCCTCTTAAGTTTTTGCTGCAGGTTCAAGAGTGTCTTACCTTCTTATATATCTCGTATATATCTCTAAATTGTACAAATGTGTGTATCATAAGGGAATTTGATTTCATTTGGCATGCATTTTTTCTCATGATGAATTTCAGGTCAGGCGTTAGGAGGCTAGGCTCACGGACCAAACAGTGCGTTCCAGAGCAGTCAGCGGTCGGGTGTGTGGCCGATCGCACTGCGGGTAGGGGGGTGTGGCTGCGGTGTCACTGACTTAAATGCACTGTCATGCCCCTCCCGCCCCTGCGATACAGTGCATTCCAGAGTCTGACCCTTGTGGAACGCACTGTTTGTGGTGTGAACCGGCCCTCAAACACTACCTGCTGGCTCACATATAGAATACTATATCTATATATTATTGTTTTATTCCTGAGCATATTAAATTAAAATATGTAAAAATAAACTACATATTCCCCTAAAGCAAGGGAGACTGCATGACAGCCAAGCAACTTGCATTGTTTCTGTAATGACATTTTTTAATTCTTAATTCCTTTAATTGCTAAGTCTAGCAATTTTGACTCTTGTCCATATTTGACATGTAAATGTTGTTTCGTTCCAAATGGCTATTCATACAAATTTCATTAAATTCAGATGCATCTAAGAGGGCTATTCACAGAGGAGCCGAAGGATCCAGCGGTAGCTTCGGCTGATCCTTCGGTTCTCTTCGGCCACCAGAGCCCTTCGGCCACCAGAGCCCCCGTACAGCAGCTGAAGGCGGCCGAGCGGCTCAGCCGAGCTGAAGGCATATGCTTCGGCTCTACTGAGCCGAAGTGACACCTGAAGCGGGGCGAACGGCCCGCTGAAGGCCGGCCTTTTCGCCCCGCAAATGACAGCTGGGCGGAGCCAGCCGCGATCTCACGGCTGGCTCCGCCCAGTTGTAATGACAGATCAGTGTCCCCAAATGACCTGGGGACGCTGAACTGTCAGTAAACAATAACAACTGGGCGGAGCCGGCCGTGACATCATTCATTGAGGATGTGATATCGTTGTTATTCATTGGCTGGGACCTGCTAGAAGACTCTAGCAGGTGCAGGCCAATAGGAAACATTTAAACAATAGTTTTTTTCTTTTTAAAAAAAATATATTTCTTTTTTTACATTTAATATTTACATTTTTAAAAATATTCTTTCAACTTTATTTTTTTTTCGACATCTTTCACTATTTGCTTTTCTGCTCTGTACCACGGAGGTACCGAACAGAATAACCGACTGCCATTTGGCCCCTATGTGAATAGGGGTGAACAGCAGCGAGCGAGCTGCCGGAGCTTCAGCTCAGCCCATCCAGATGCCTTAGGCAGCTTTGTGAATAACCCCCTAAATTTTCTAATTCAAACACGTCTGAATGTGAATAAATCCAAATGCACATCTAACCAAAATTCTGATCCGTCCGAATTTTGTTCAAAATGAAACTAAATCAAACATGTGACTGTTCTCTGGCCAATCAGATGCTTTTTTTGGGGCTGTTGGGGATTGCATTACAGGCATGTAACTTCCTGTTGTGGAGTAGAGAGAGTCGATGAGAGCATTAGGATAGCATACGATGTCAGAACTAAAATGACCAACAAAACCCCCCAAAAATAATTACGTTAATTTATAATTAAAGAACCCCATCCGAA